TGGGTTTCAATCGTATCTGGCCGCACGCCAACTTCTATAGATATCAAACAGCATCATGTACGCGAGCCCAGGTAATTTTAAGTGGCTGAAAGTAATTAATTCGCAAAAGAAAAGGTAATTAAGTGATATGCACCTGTTGGTAGTATCCATGGTTCGCTTGTTGCGAGCCTCGAACACATATTTGTGCCAGCTACGTCGAAACGTATGCTCGTTTTAAATTATTATTCCCCCATCGCGGTTATCGATATCGTTCCACGAAAACTTCCGACACTGTGTACGTGCCATTTTTGTACTCCAATACAAACAACGACGTTGCTCCAGGATAAATGTTACGATCCTAGTTTTATCGATATGTGGTGGCTTTTATTTCGCCGCCACGCTCTCGATGCGAATTGAAACGCGTACGTTGAATTATTGATAAACAAATAAACGGGGGATTCCCGTTGTACGAAAAGAGAAGAAAAACAAATTATATACCTGACTGCGCGGGTATTTTTTTTTTTTTATAGAATAATACAATTTTATAGTATCGTACGCGTTGAACACCTACCCGAAAGAAATCAATGCGAACCGAATGAATCTTGAACGATCCGTTGTATTTTATGCACTCGTGGAATTACAGTTTCCAGGAATCGTAATGCCGTTTCATGTTCCCTTGGCCTATTGCGTAATCAGGGTTAGTACGTTACGTGCAGTTTAGAAGAGCAATTGCGTTAACGTTGAAAAATTAGTAGCGGGTTCCCCATTCGTGTTCCGAAACGCGCAACTTCGCGTAATGAAATCGCGTTCGAATGCGTTTATGTTCACTTTGATCGTTCGATCCACGATCCAGTCAACTAAACTGACGAGGGTCGAACTCGACCAGTAACTAGGACCAATCAGATTTCACACAATCTAACACTGGACTAATTTAGGTATAGACACCGATCAAATAATCTGTCATAGACATACGATTAAAAGGAATTCACGATTCAAAGTGTTCAAACGCAATTCGAATTGGCTCTTTTGGAGAGATCGGACCCGGAATGCGTTAGTAAAGTACTATTTCGCATGACGGAATAAATACTCTCGATTATCGTACGGTAGTTGGGATTACACGCTCGCCCGTGCGAATGAATGCTGGCTGGATGTGTACTACGGGCAACTTCGGTGAAGCCATTCTTGTGTATCGCATTTAACCTTAGGCCAGTTACTCGCTCGCATAGATTCCTGCGCGTTGTCTGGCATTTATTAGTACAGGTCATTGCTTTAAGTCTCTCCTGGTTCGTTAGAACATTGCTTGCTCATCTACGAGTAGACACAGCTACGGGGAAGCATGAACCGCGTTGGCGCGAGAGGTTATTCGTACGGGTCATTTCGTAACCTTTTCGTTAGATACGTAGTAAAAAAAGATCATTGTCGGTGCCCACGCGGATCCGTACGCTCGAATTTCCCTATAAATTAGAAAATTTTCAACGATAAGGTGTTTATTAAAATACTAGAGGATGGCGAAAACAAGTTATTGATAGAGTTTTAAGAAATAGTCGGTGTTGCATCGATGGAGGGGAAAGCTGTTTGATTTTTTTAGAAATCAGCCACAGTAATAATTTATGACGAAATATCCCATGGTCGGATCCAAGCGTAGAGCTGTCCAAAGATCCCAGGTTACGATGCGTTGCAGGTAATAAACGATTATACCCGAGACGTGAGTTTGATTTGCAACACTATAGTTATTTTCAGTTGCGGAAGCTTCCGAATGTCTCTCGATGGATGCAGTATCCAGTTATGTATCTTCATTACTTCGGTAATGTTTGCCAACTGATATACGACTACAGTAAAATGATTAATATCGATACGCAGGGCTGTTTCTCACACAGGCGGTTGATTATTCCGAATAGTCCCTTTTAAAATTTCAGAGCTCACAATTTCGTTAAGTGCTCCACATGTGATTCAGTTTTCAGCGATATTATCGTCCTTTTTGAGTTATTCAATTTGAATATCTAAAGAGAAACCGCTCGAGCCGTCTCGTTTATTCGCGACGGGAAATAAGAATTATTAATTAGCAAACTGGAGAATTTTTTCGAGAGCTACATCGTACTTCTCGTGAGAAACACCTTCTTTCTTTTTGCAGTGTATAATCACTGACAATTAAATATGATTTCGTCGTCGAAATATAATTCTGGTAATGTTTAATATATGCTCATAATTAAAATCTAGTTGTCTTGTTGCTCGATTCATCGGTATTGGTCAATCAGAAAATGGCGACAATATTCACGTATCACCCTATCGTTATACCTTCGTTGGATATAGTAATTCACGCATACTTGGACTGCTTGACCTAGAGGCCTCTTTGAATCTTATTAAGTCTAATCGGAACGTCTACAGTTCGATAAAACGTGTTGAAACAGCAGCGTTTGTAATGTCGGGGTAGCCACGTAGTATTATACTACATATTTGCGTCAAGTTCCGTGTCCTGGGCCGTCAGGAAGCAAACTCAAATTAACTTTTTTTTTTCACGAAAGCAGTTTATTACTCGTGCACGACATAATATTTGACCCAGTGAAATATTGACTTTGTTCCTAGTAGAATATCGCGGCACTCATCGTGGAATATTTGCATAATAACCAACGAGAATCGCAATTTATATTTATATTATCGTATTCGAAATTTGTATCGTTTCGAGAGTAATACCGGTGCAAACAGGAGACCTTTAATGGCAAGAATATCGGAGTTCGAAGTCTATCTTCGTTTATCGTTCTTCGCGTTCGGTTTTTCGTGTCGCTTGTAGTTTGTTTTCAACAGGTAGGGAGAGTGGTCCAAGAATTTACCATAAGTCTACGCCGAGCGTGTGAAATATGAGGTTGGTCGTCTGGATAATATGAAATTCAAAATACTCTTTCAGCAGGTATAAAGTAAACATTTTTATTGAGAACGCGTTTCTTTATCTGTTTGAAGAAAATGGAGCACCTTTTTTCAAGAGTGGTATAAATACCCTTCTTTCGAAATATTGACATAAGAGCATATATATATATATGTATTATATATGTATATATTCGTACAGTTGTATTTTAGACACATTTAAAATTGTACGATTAATGAATTTTCGAACTCCTTCAACATTTCGAAATCGTGTGTCTGAAAGTTTGCGTCAGATAGAAAGGAACAAATGAAAGCCTGATTGTACTAAGTCTGATAACTGTTGGCGCGATTAAACTTTCCGTTCGAACTCTGTTAACGTTTCGCGAGTCGTCAATGCAACATGGAGTTTGGCATCATCGCGCTGCAAGATTATCTTATTTCGATTCGTAGCAAATTTCGACTCCACGAATGTTTCATTTAATTATCGAAGTAGTTGGTTGTATAGAGACGCCCTGAATTTAATCACTCACAGCATAGAGCACAATGAATATAGCACCGAATAAATAGCAACACGTGACTACGAATGTTTCACTTTGGCTGCTTCGGAGTGTGCTTTCGCTCCGACATACTTTAAAGAAGCGATTATTCGAATAGAAATGCTTTAATACGCTTCCTTTACGGAGGTTAACTAGCATTGTACGGAAACCAACATAAAAGAACAAAAATACATTGAAATAATGCCTACCTCGTAAAGATCATTGCGTAATTGTTATATGTGTTTTTGTAGTAAACACTACAAGAGAGTACTAACACGTATTGTGTTTACTTTGTTTGACCTAACAACTTACTCTAAGTTGAAAATAGACACGTAATTATCAAAATTAATATTCGAATCTATATTTATTAAGACCGTTTTTCTTATTTTTACGTGTATTATGTACCCCTAAACTTTCCGAAACACCCATAAATATACAACTTATCTAGAACGCGTAAATTTGCTCGTCCCCGTGGTGACACAATTTTCGAATTCCTTTAATAACATCGGGTCAGCTCGGACCATCGAGCAACGGCTTCCGGTTCCAAGGAATTGGATCGAAGGTGAAGGCAACAACAGTTATTGTATCCCGAGTAAATTGTTTTCGAATATCTGGTAGAACGAGTAATTCCGCGCACGCTCGTTAAGACACAGCCAATTAATTACCTTACCTCGAACCTTACAGGGAGCGCGTAATAATGATAATTTTCACATCGTTGGATCTATTGGTTCGTTAGCGGGGGACTCGATTTTCTATCGATACGAGTGCACTCGGTCAAGTGCATTTTATATGTCGTTACCGATGCTTTCCCCCTTCCACCCCGGAAGAAATTGAAGTCTCTTCTCGCGTTCGAACAGTTTGATCGTCGTGTGTGCGTGCGTTTGTGGGATGTAGGACTATCTGTCTACGCGTTCACCAAATGCATATATGGAAGCCGTTTCAAGGCAGAGTCTCATTGTCGGTGAAGTGTCACATGTGAATTGCGGCGAATTGATTTATTCAGATAGTGGATGTTCAATAGAAAATCAAGGAACGTCGAGAATCGAATTCACGAGCACCGGCTTCAATTTCCGCGTATATGTCTTCGGCGTCGAAATGCATTTAAAAATCTTATTCGAACCGATCGATTCTCCCGATCGTCAAATTCAACCGGAGGTGGGTCTGGGAATTAAAAATTCGTTAAACAATAAATTCTACCATGTGGTCCCGCTGAAGGTTTTTGTTTTCAGATTAAATGGTATACAACGGTAATGTGGATAATAAAAGATCGAAGCGCGACGCGTTAATATTTATGTAAACGCAATTACCGATTCTTTGTCTCCGTTGGATCTCCGCTCGAAATGAAATTGTCGATCGGTTTGCGTTAAGACAAACAAGTGGAATAACCCACTTTCGTTTTAATTATTCCGAAAGTCCGTCCGCGTATGTACGTATGCTTTTAATCCGTTTCGATTTAATTCCATTCGGGGACGTGCTCGGTTACGCAGGTTCATTCGGAGTTGATTTAGCGAAATAAAGCGGTCCGCGAACTGTTAATATTATACGTTGCCCGGGCGTCCTGTAAGCAAACCGGCGAAATGAATCCGCGGATCACTGATTTGCTCGTCTGGGTTCTCTCTGTTTCAGTGAAGAAGGCGCGGTTCGTCTGCGAGGAAGGTTTGTATGCGAAAGGACAGGACGAAGAGGACGGGATCGATCGGGGATCCGGAAACGTGGAACGAACGAAGCTGCGTCTGGCTGTTCCTGGCTGGTTCTCAAAGCTTGCACGACCGGGGCGCAAAACTCGCGTGGAAACTGCGAACGGGATCCGTCGTCGTTCGATTGTTCCCCAAAATTGGAATCGAACCCGATACTTTCATAAAACCGGGGGACCCTTACTCACGCTCCAGTTCTGAAGTCCGCGCAAAATTTGTTGCACTCCGATTGGAACGGTTCCAAGTTAAAGGCTACCTGACTTCTCAACCGGAATATCGCGATGTTCTGTTCATGCCGAAATAATTTTTCCGCGGCGGTGGGAAAAATCGTCGCGACAACGTGAAACGTTAGCTTCTTCACCGACGTTTCTCTCGAAACACGCAAATTACGCTGCTGCGGGTCACTTTGACACTCGTTAAATATAGTTTATTTCGTTAATATCTCGGCTCGACGTCGTTTGTCTATCGAATCCTTTAGAATTATAAAAGATAAGAAACTTCTCGTTGCTCGAGTATTCGCGAGTTCCGTTTTAGCTTCACTTTTTTTTGCACTGTCGTTTAGTAACGATTAGTATCGCCAACAAGGACGATTTTCCTTTCTCGCATAATGCTATTTTAAGGGAAAGAATTTGAATATTCAAGTCGTTGGCAACGACGATGTGTATCTCGAGCGTTCATTGCATGCGTCTCACGCGATACGTCGAAAGTGTTCAAGTTCGTTCGGCTCCAAACGCCTGTCTATTTATTATTCAAAGTTTAAATTGTCCTATTTAGCATTCAACGATATGTCACTTTCGTGCGATGCGCTATCTCGTTCGAGAAGTTTACATCGGCCGGGAACATTTCTCTTTTCTTTTTCTTTTTTCTTTTTATTTAAACGCGAAACAATCCGCCAGGCACGGGACGAAAATTAACCGTTCGCTATTCGCGTAGAGTCGCGGTTTCTAGCGTTGCATTATTTACCGCGATATAACTTCCACGCGGCAAGAGCAGCCTTTTATATAAAATGTTTAACGTTTAAACTTTCCAGATCGCGGTAATTTCCCGTTACGTTTCTCGACAGTTCGCCTGGAGTTGTTTCACGGCATTCCGCCGTGACGGACAAAAGCCTTGAGACTTTCAGTGACTTTGCATTCATATTGCGCGTCTTTTTGTGTACCGCGAACGACGAGCCGGCACGTGTGCCATCGTTGCTGGCTACAGCCACGAGAATCATTATTTTCCGCGAACGTCACACGCAGAAGATCGACTACGGGATTCAACGTTTATATAGCTCGCGTTCTCTCATTGTACACGCGTCACGGTTTAAAAAGACGCAAATTTCCGTCGCATGTCGGGAATCGTGACGGCGGGCTACGTTGGATTAATGTTTCATCTCGAGACGTCACTGGTATCAGCTCGTATCATAAGTCTTTGCGTGTCTACGTTTAAGCAAATTGAATCTCGAAAATAATGGATATTTACACGTACGCTGCCCGATACCGTTACAGGATTTAAGAAACAGGTGTAATTTACATTTTATAAACTGGGACATTTAGCGCGTTAATAATCCCAAGTTACGCGCGTTGCAAAAATATTTTGTCCTGGCTAGGTGTATTTTATGTCGACGGGTAGAGGTTTTCAAAAAATTGACTTTGACCATTTTTTACTCTTTCGTCGTAATCTGGTCAACGTAAGGAGCAAAAGTTTCGATAGAATAACTCTCAGAAAATTTGTTCTGTCGCTAATAATTCTGTAATCATCCAACATTTTGCACGATGTTCCTCCTATGATAAAATTAAAACAAAAAGGAAACTGTTTAGCGAGAATCGATTCCAAGTTCTGCGATTTGCAAGCCTTGCAATTATCTTACTTGGTCGTCGCAACTTCCGTAACGTGTACTGATACTTATAGTACGCGAAGAACTATGTAACTTTAATTGTTTATATGTTTAAAACTACCAAGTATGCTTGATATTGCAAACATATTATTAGAAAAGTTGGGGTGCTTTCCCTTGAACAAAAGCGCGTTCGAATCATACCGTTTGGCATTAAACAGAGTTTTCGTAAGTAATCGCGAATATTTCTTGAAGTGTAATGACTATAGTTTGAATTGATAAATTGAACCTAAGTGCTCCGACGATTCTGTTTGATCTACATCGTGCCCAAACGCCCCCATAAAGTTCGTTGCCACTTTAACGTCCCCCTGGAAGACTTCAGCGCTTTCCAGGTGGGCGCTGACGCCCACGTCGGGTGACGCTGGTTTATATTGATTCCTAAGCGACCTGAAATGTTTGTATCAGTAGTTGCACATTTCCAAGCCATATTTGTCGACTCCCACGCATTGTGAAATGTTTGTACCAAGACTCACTAATTCGGATTTAACGCGTTTATTTTTATACCCCCACAGACCTGAAAATCAGCTAGTAGTTTTTATATGCTTTCAAAAGTTTCGATCGTGACGAATATTTGAATCTCTGACGCGTTGCGACATTTCACAAATTTATAACCTATGATATACAGGGTGTTCGGCCAATCCTGGGAAAAAGGTTAATAGGAGATTCTAGAGGCCAAAATAAGACGAAAATCAAGGATACCAATTTGTTGATTGAGGCTTCGTTAAAAAGTTATAGTAACATTTCCGGCTACACGGTATATTTTCAGTAACAAATTTTTTTCTCGAAAGTACGTAGAATTTCGAGGGTATGTGTATTCACCAAAAATGATTGTAATTGACCCCCGCAATCGAAAATAATTTTTTTAGAATGATTTGAAATTTTTTCATTTCGCCGAAAAATTTCTGCAATTACTGAATTTTTTTCTCGAAAGTGCGTATGATTTCGGGGTGATGTCTATTCACCAAAAATGATTGTAATTGACACCCGCAAACGAAAATAATTTTTCCAGAATGATTTGAAATTTTTTTTTTCACCATAAAATTTCAGCCTGTCGATTTTTTTTAAAAATTCGTTTTTCATTTGTAATAAATTTGTTTGACATCCTACGGAAATTTTGTTTAGTACTTTTCTGTAGGTATCCATGAGTTCTACTTCCATATTAAATTTCATTGAGATACGTTCACTATTGTAGATGTCATGAATGTTTGAAGATTAGGCCATTTTTATGAGGTTTTTCTCACTTCACGGCGTTAAGGAATAACTTTTCGAATATTTTTAGAAATTCTACATATTCTTCGCCAAAATACGCGTTGTTTGCCGTTTGAAATATTAAAATCCTCCGATCCGTTCAGAAGTTATGACATTTTAAAGATTCGCATGAAATTTTCGGGCAACATTTCTGGCCATAAATTACATTTTCGATTACGAATTTTTTTCTCGAAAGTACGTAGGATTTCGGAGGTATGTCTATTCACCAAAAATGTTTGTAATTGACCCCCGCAATCGAAAATAATTTTTTTAGAACGATTTGAAATTTTTTAACTTAATTTTTTAATTACTTTTTAACGAAACCTCAATCAACAAATTGATATTCTTGATTTTCATTTTATTTTGGCCTCTAGAATCTCCTATTAACATTTTTCCTAGGGGTGGCCGAACACCCTATATGGATCCAGAGATCATAATTATACTCGCTGACTTTTCTGAAGTTTCGTCTGGTCTGATCAATTCAACATTTTTAATATTGAGTTCCATGAAATCGAAGAGGTATCAGGTTCCACGAATGTAAGCTTGTCTTTTTTTGAAATCATAGAAAATACCATGGGCTTCTCTAATGTAACGGTTTTTAATTTCAATCGCATTAGTTGCATTTCACGTCGTTTATTGCGACAGATTGGCCGCTATGAGGCTTGAACACATTCGACATTTGTATTGCGTTGTTCGTTCCAGTAGCGTAGATGGATTAAAAATGATTGAATGACGAATTTTAAATACGTTTACTAGACCGAATTACCGGAGTTTACGGACGCATAAATGAGAAACTGTTCGGGAAATTGCGAGGACAGGCAATATGTCACGCGAGTCAAATTAAAGCGTTCTTTATACGCAACAACGCGGAACTGCAGCATGATTTCAGAGGAAACAAGGCTGTAACGAGTATTTCAATTGTTCGAATAAACGACAGCGTTTCGTAATCGTCATTAACTTGTCCGAGGGACGTTACATTTGTGGGTGGATGTTTAGAACGTATTTATTATAATTGTATAACGTTGGTAAAAAACTATTTAACAAGAAATCGATACAATAACTATGATTTGTCTCACACGTCTTTTCACTCTCAGTGCTCGCTTACAAGTGACCAGTTTCACACACGTCGTTCTTTCGTTTACTCTTCAATCATAAAGTATACAAACTATTTAGACCATTCACTTATGTCACACTCATCTCTTATACAAAATATCACTCACTCCATACCTATGACAACCAGTACCACACCATTAACTGCAATTAAATATTCATCGATAATGGAAATTGGACCCGCTCCTTTGAAAGGTTCGAAAATTTTCCGGGATCAGAATTGGATTTTCTGAAGTACTTAAAATTTACATTGAAATAATTCTTATCTTCGACATATTGCAATTCTCTCAATTACATTCGTTTCGTTCTAATGATCTCTTTTATCACAAAATCTTCTATTCTCTTTGATTCGAGTAACTTTTTCTATGTCGAATTCGCGAATCATTTCCGGCATTCCTGATTTCTGAAACATACAGAGTCTCGTTCGTAGATCTTTTTCGCGAGTTCTCGATAGTTTGCGGACGGAATAATGGTACACTCGTGCATGGACAACGCAGGCGAAGGTTCACAGAATTTTACGGTTCGTCTGCTTTCTAGACGCTTTCTAAACGCACAGATGGGTCGAAAGACTGCCCGTATCCTTCGTAAATTGAGAAACGATGGCTGGTTCCTCGAGAAAGGTTTATATGTGTATATACCTGCCTCTTATCGATTCGACGACGTCGGCTTCTAAATGTTTTCCGACGACATAGGTTGTTAGATGGGTTAAGCTTTGAGAGGTTATCGTACAATATTCCTCCGAACGCCAGTAGTTCATTTCTGTGTAATTATATGCAAAAGAACTCTTCAAAGCGCACCAAGTTTCCATAAATAACATTTAATTGTCCGTGGAGTAAAGCAGTGCAATACAGACGTCGTTTTATTTCATTTTTATTACGAACATAAACGTTTCGTTGGCGAGGAAATATTTTATTATTAACCGTAGTTTGCTTAACCTTGCCTGGATATTACGTTCTTCTGTTTATTCGCTTGATCTTATAACCTATGCATATTTTTTCTTATACTCTTGATCTTTCCAATTTATAGAATGAGAAAATAATTTCTATCGAATTAGTATCTGGAATCAGAATATTTCTGTTTTATGATTATTTGGGATTTGTATTTTTGACGTATAAACTGGAGTTCAATATATTTTTTAATTAAAACTGTAAGTACCATGATACAAAGGAAATGTTCAAATGGTTATTCTCTTGTTTCCGTGTACACGAAGTATTAATCAATATTTCGATATTTATAAAGTGTATATTGAAGCAAATTCAGTATATAACTTCTATAAAAATGATTTTGAAATATTTTACAATTAAATCCAAAGTAAATGTTGTAAAACGTGTAAACGTATTGTGTAAAAGTGGAAAGAGCGATTCAAAAATCATAATCAAAATAACACTGTACAAATATAATTCATCAGTCGTGAAAAACCAGTTACACGATTGTTCAACATTAAAGTCAATTTCCTAGTTTTTGACAATCGTGGTCCTCTGACCTTTCGTTATTTTAATCTCGCTTCGCGTAATACGTTGAATAATGTCATAAACTTTATTTGGAATTTATCCGCACCGAGGGGGGTTGAAAAGTCAGTGAAAAGCGTCGCACGAAATATATTAAACGTTTCGTCCCGCTAACAAAGACTAATGTTTCACGTTGCCATTAACGCGTAATTATTTGAAAATCGTTTCCGCGTAGGATAATTTATTAATGGCATAATCATTTTCAAATTACGTTATAACGGGCTGGCTCGCGATCGAAGTTTTTCAATCTACGCTTCGGCCTACGCGGAAGGGACGCGTTGAAAAACTGTCGAGCGACACGACCGGGCCGAGCAACATTTAATTTATCGAGCGCACGGAATAAAATCCCAGTTTATCCGGTCGTAAATAATTTTTGCCCGCCGCCGCGATAACTTGACGCGGTCCTCGCGGTCGACCGTGGCACGGAGTATTTGTCAACGTCGACGTTTCCATTTTCGCGGGACAGGTTTCTTTTACGACCTAGCGCGTGGCTGGTGTCCCTTGGACCGATCAATCGAAGTCGAACGACGATCGAGATCGCCAGGAATCGCCAGGCGTCGGTTCGCGTCATGGAGTCCCGATTATACACGGATTTTCAGCGGAACAGTTCAACTCCTACGTAACGCTGAAGCTGCAGAACGTGAAGTCAACGACAGTCACTGTGAAAGGGGCCAATCCATGCTGGGAGCAAGACTTTCTTTTGTGAGTACTAGCTTTCGATTGTCTAAAAAGAAAGTTTCTTTTTCGTGGACAATTCGAGGGGTTTGGTGTGGCATTTAACGCGTTAAACGCTGTCACGTTCGTTTAAAGGTGTTATTCCTGTTTTTGAATTATTTAACATTTCCAGTGACGTAATCCTTGTTGAAATTGGTGAATTATTTTTGTCGACGATCGTTGAGAAGTTCCCGAGAGTTTTCCACGATCGACTGGATGGAAAAAGGGACTTGTTGGATCGAGACGTAGGGAGCGAGCATTTCAATTTCGAATTTTAAATTTCGAATCGGAAGTTTGACGATCCACGGTACATTCCCGACGGTTCCACGGTTCGCGAGAACTTTTTATCCAACTGGGTAATATCCGATGCTGAATAAAAATGATAAGGGCCGGCAGGAATTGTCGCCGTCGGAGTGTGCGCGTTCGTTACCGAGTTTGCGTCAAGGCTCGTGGAACTCGGAGTTTCGCGATCGACTATCGAACCCCTTTAAGAGGTAATCCGATCCATAGCTGATATATAAATAGGTGCTTAGCCAGCACAATGGGATAGCGCGTTCACGATAGCGCGATTAGCTAATCGCGAGTTATGTTTCGCGTTTTAATCTTTTTCTCCTCTCGCCCTCGTGATATTTTTCCCTTCGTTTATCGATTTCTCGGTTCCTTCCGGTCGACGAGGCGGATTCGTTTTCTTTTTTAACCGTGACCCGATATAATCGTGTGCTTAATAATGATTTTGTCGACCGGCCTTTTCGCGCTTTATCAATCCCTGGTGCTCGCGTCGCCCTGGCCAGGGAAGTGTGTCGCGGTACGTGATTGGTTTATTTATAAAAAAAGGGGAGAGACGCGAACGCTTCGTTTTAGTATTTGTAGTCGTCTTTTTATTATTAGATAGATTTTTATATCCATATTTCCGCACTTTCTTTATTCATGGGGGATCGAGGGTCTTGAATGAAAGTTTATATAACGTATCTTTTTATATAAGTAGTGCAGAGTGTCTCAGAATTAACAGACTGTACCGCTTAATTGCATTCAAAGGAATCGAGTTTGATTTTAAAAATTATGAGGTAGAGAGAAATCTGTTTATCAGAGAGGGAGATTAACAGCCCTTCGGGCAGATAAAGATTATGGAAATGCCAAATGAATTCGCGGCGACAAGTTGGTATTCCTGTAACAAAAAGTTTTGACGCAGAATCCTTGGCTCGGTCGCGGGGAAAGCTTGCAATCGTGTCGTTTTCCCGTTGGTGGAAGACTTAGGATAAGTCACTAAAGACGAATGGGGTCTATCAAGTTGTGCCGAGTTATGCAACAGTATGAACGTGATCCACATTTCCGGTGAAGTACGAACCCAAACCGTACTAGGCGGATTCAACGAAAAGGAACGAGATAAATATCTTAACCCTTTCATTACCAAATAACTTAAATCTCACAGGGAAGAATTATTCGTCCGTATTTTCGCGCATACTGTAAGACATATCGATTTGTAAATTCAACTGAAATATTTCAAGGTTCATGGTTTCGTAAATTTGTATTTATATAATATTTATCACTCTATTTTAACGTCATTTAAATGGCTGACGATATCACATTCTACATTATTGTCTAGTTTCTAAATATGGACTAGCTGTACGAAACTAGAAGAAGTTAATGCATATTCACAGATTTTTAAATATAGACCACAGTAATATTTTATTCAATAATTCTAAATACTTGGCCATACGACCACCAGTGGGAATGAAAGAGTGAAGGAAAACCAATTATTCACCGATCCATCGAGTAACGTGAATAATTCACATAAATGTAAATGCTTGTGGTATGGATAAATAAAAACCTTGATAGCCTAGTATGTGCATACTATATTTTCACAGATAGGAAATCTGTATACGTTTTTTCAACTCGATTTTGAGTCCACCATTTGAGTCTTGAGTTATTAAGAACATAAGAATATATAAACTATAAATGTTCGATTCAGAACGATTGTTAATAAATATTTGAATCTTGTCGATAGTGTTAGAGATAGTGTTAATAAATATTGTTAGGTTCTTGTTTCACGGTGGAAGACGATTAATTTTATTCCCGGGCTACATTTTTAATCACACTCGAGCGTTTTCTTTATCGTAGGGAGAATAAGACCGCGTCAAGTGCTCGAGATGAAGAACACGCTATTGATCGAGCGTTGAAAATATATAAGGAGGACAATCGCGAGTCGCGGTGGTAGAAAATAGGAGAATTTTGGATCTTAGCTCTCGGAAATATCCCTACCGGCGCTGCTAAATCCTTACTTGCCAAGTTGCGAACCTTTAACCTACTTTTCCTTTGACGCTCGTCTACGTGTGTACGGGCCGCTTTTAAATCGTATTTATTTAACCAGTGACGAAATAGCTGCCTAAAAATAAGAATCCCGGGGATGTACCGATCAATTTCCCTCTATTTAGAGCACTCGCATCGGCTATGCAAATACTAAGGAACCATATAGTCGGAGTTCCAACCAACTTTTACAAGTTAAAACTGTACTGCAGGCAACTTTCTCTTTTTCGTTTTTCCTCGTGGCCTATCAATTTCATCGATTTCAACAAGGTCTACGAACTGTTTTCACGCCATAAAAATTTTCTTTGTCGATAAATATAATTTCATCGTCTTTGTGCGTGTAGTTAAATTTAAATAGTCGATCCGAAAATTCTGAAATTTGGTAGAATTTGTCTCGTCACCAACTGTCACAACTTTGGGGGTCGCTGAAAAGAAAATAAAGAATAAGGACCCTCGTGTATGCAATATTGATTTACTTTAATGTTTGCATATCGTTCACTCGGTGTCGATATCAGTTTAACGTACGAGCTCATGTGAAATTAACCACGATTTCGTTTGTTATCTAGCGAAACGAACGACATGAACACGGGCCTTCTGGTCGAGGTCTGGTGCAAGGGTTTCCTATGGGATCGTTTCCTGGGCTACTACTACGTCCCATTATCAGAAGTGTCCTACATGAATGAGGTAACGTCTAAGCAGTCCTACAATACATCCGCCACGATATCGACAGGGAAACAAGAACAACGACACATATCCCCTGACAGCATGCGCGACACGAACAGCAATACACAGCCACCAGACATCACCAACACGGTACACTAATTGATACATGCACCTAACTAGAATTTCTGTCTTAGCGCGCAGCCTTTCGGATTAATTCTAATCATGCCGTTCCCGCGCTGTCATGCTTCCAAACGCGGTGCAGTAAAATCTCGATTATACGAGCCAACGTCGAAAGCGGTTTCTATTATTCGGGAACGTCGATTAAGCGGCGTCCCGATATTCCGTACACGTGGTATGATTATCGCGATCAGATTAATCGTGTACGTTGACGACGAACACTATGAACGCCCCCCGTATGTTGCTCGCAATGCGTGTAACGTGGAACCGAGGAAAGGAAGGGAAAAATTTTGTTTACAGACAGCGTGACTTTCAGATTTTAATGGAATCTCGTAGATGTTAAATATTTAGCAATATAGTTTTGTGATTTTGCAAATCTACTGGTTAGTTTGGAGATTTTGAAACGAATCGAAACGATTTCATTTTTCTATGCAATATTAAATCGCAAAGAGTACTTGTTTTCATTAGAATCTGAGTATCAGCGACTTCCTTTCCAGAAACGTTAAGCAGCAGTTCTCGTGTTTGCGGTCGAGTCTGAATAACCGAGATTCCTATGATCCAAGGCACATCGTACGAACGTGTCGCTTACTCCTAAGCAAGTATTACACAGATATCGCATCGCCTAACCGTTTCGAATGAACAGTATCTTACAATCAATCCGGATCTGGCTCTAAGCAACTAGAAAGTGGAAGCACGGCTGAAAGCAAGCGCTTCTCCATTTTGCCGATAATACGATACGCTGGAGAGAAGCGGCGCTATAGTTCGACGAAAGAGTACAATTTTTTCCGTTAAGGAACTTTCCTCGTGTCCCGATCGAAAGAAGTCGATTTCTTTTTATTTGCATTTTTGACGGTTCACGGTTTCGAAAGCACACCGTGAAAATGACGACAAATCGAACAAGTCACGAATGCGTGGGCGTTAACATATTCGATGCAAAGAGGACATTAAAGGACCCGCACAGATCTTATGGAAAATGGCTCCCGGTTAAATTAGCTGAACTTTTGATATGATGTAGTTCATTATGTCTTGATGAAAAGTTCCAATGGGCCCAAGCTCGTCAAAAGTCAATAATAGTGCGCCTTATTCTAGACTACCAAGTTTCAGCATATTTGAGTGTAAGAAGCACTGTTGTACACTGCCCATTTATTTGACCCCTTAAAACTCAATAGTAGTACTGTGGACCCTTAAATATTACACCTTGACCCCCTGACCCTCTGCTGCAAAAAGATGATGACGATGAATAGCAGATATCAGCCTTAGAAGACTAAAAGTTTATTCACAATTTTGGAATTGTACCAAACATCGAGTTCTTATTTCTCACATTCCCGAAAGTGAACTGGAACTAGAAGAGGAAGTAATAAATGGTTACTACTGCACCTGTCAATCTGATGCCAAAACATTGAGTAAATGCGCACATATTGCAAGTGTTTTAAGGTTTTTAGGATTTACTCGCCATCAAAGGCATGCCAAATATTCGGATGGCAATCTTCTAAATACGACCAGAGATGCCGTTAATAGAGGGCATCAAGACAATATGAATGTTGAAATTCTTATGGCTGAATAGAGAGAACTATAAAAACGACCCTTTTCAGGGCCACATGGTGTGCAAAATTCGATCGAACAACCTCTTCGTGGTGCACACTGAGTAATGCTAATGTCGACGGTACTTCATGTTTGTACATTGAAAAAGAGAACCATTTTTTACCTTTTTGGCGTTTTTTTATTTTGACTCCTGAAGGGGAGTCAGAGGGTCAGGGGGTCAAGGGGTAATATTTAAGGGCCCACAGTACTACTATTGAGTTTTAAGGGGTCAAATAAATGGACAGTGTACAACAGTGCTTCTTACACTCAAATATGCTGAAACTTGGTAGTCTAGAATAAGGCGCACTATTATTGACTTTTGATCCCCTATATCTCGGAAACTGTTCAATTTACAAGCTTGGGTCCAGTGGGACTTATCATCAAGACATAATGAACTACATCGTATCAAAAGTTCAGCTAATTTAACCGGGGGCCATTTTCCATGAGATCTGTGCGGGGTCCTTTCGATCCGGAATGCACAAGCACAGTCTCGAAGTAGCGATTTCAATGTTGGATTTGGTAAAACGATCTCACAGTTTCCCCGGAAGTTTAAAACGTCAGCTTCAAATGGAAGATCCAACGAGCGGTTTATACGAGCGAGCTTGAAACCAATCGCCGCGTCCAAACGTTGCTGTATGTGTCGCGAATGGTTTATTCGCGCTAAGATGAAACTGTACGGCCACACCTCTTCCGTCATTATTTTTCCAACAATTTTCCATCGAGCGTGAACCTCGATTTTGTAAGAGAGGAAAAAAGTGTGGCGAAACAGGGGCGCGGAAAATGCGACATTGTGACGCGTTTAAGGAGGTAGAGGAGCCTGCAAGGCCGTAAAATATGGTACTTTTTAAGTTGCCACACGAGCCGTGGATTGTAAAATGATATCGTTTGCCTGTAACGAGCGTCTAGAAGAACGTTCGACGAACATTTCTACGCGTCCAGTGACCAAAAGTATTAACAATCGACGTTCTGTTCGATATTTTTTCAACCCCGTGTTCTCTTGACGCATTTAAATGGTTATTCCACGCTTGGAAATTATTAGAACGAAAACTTATATTTTTATACGACGTAAATACTAATTGTTTCTCCAGATTTTTGCTTTAGATCGTCGTCGTAATTAATGGCGCGATAAATCTACTTCCGAGGCTCAAATTGTCTTACCTTCGATGCACATTTTCTATAACGGAATAGGTTCGCATCGGAAGTAGACAGAGTATCGAATAACCAATAATATTAAATAGAACGAACGCATACATGAATTTTTATCGCTATTGTTACGCGTTGAATTTACACGCGAAGTTATACTACATTGAATAAACTGTACAGAGTATAAATTCCAGAAAGGTCGCATGGAACATCGTAGATTATCAGATTAATGGCTTATATAAAAATGAATGTATTTTACGTGTTGACGACGCGAGCCATAAACGATAAGCGCGAACTGCACAGTTTAAAAACTCGGCATGATCAGAAATTCAATAGGGAACATAAAAATTATGTCGCAGTTTTTCATCAAGTCGTTTCATGCGGCATATTATTGTCTTAACGTCTTTATTACTCGAGTGCAAGAAAATATATATATCGTTCGATAAGGCAAAGTACAGCCAAATGCTACTTTTAAAACCAATTTAAAATGCATCCGTAATAAAATTTTTATAATATACATTTTATAAGTCTGGTTATGATACAGGATGTTTAAAATGTATTATTTGTTTAATCGACCCACAAGCGTTGTCTTATCGTTCGGTAACAAATTGTTAAACTTTCGAAACTTATTTCTGCCCCCTTGAGGATGAGAAATGGTTCGAAACATTTCCTTTCCGAGTAATAAGCACATTTCGTCCACGACAGTCTTGCGAGAACGTCTAGAGAGACCGCAAAAGTTTGACCTCGCCCCACGATCATTGCACTTCCGTGGGATTTATATAACGTCAAGCAGACATGTTTGATCACTATAAAATATATCGTCAGTGTCTCCTACCGTCGTAAAGAAAGCGACAATACATCTTATGTACGTAAACTTGGCCAGATACTTTCGCAGAATTCTATCGCAGTTAAAAAGTGTTTAGAACTTGGAAAGGAAGCCTTTTCAAACGTCCTCAAGGTGAGTAGTATAGTGCAATTCATATAAAGTGATCGATGGACTTATTTCTGAACCTTGAAGAAATAGGGAAAACTATTTTGTTGGAAGGGTCAAATTCATCTTTTTAACATACATTTTTTTATTAACTTTTAATTAATTCTACGCAGCGTGATATCTTTTATGGACAAGATTTTTCGATAATTTTTTTGCGACCTCAGATTTCGATGGGTTCAAACGGTCGTAACGCAATCTCTTTCGTTCGCGCGAGTTAGTTTCGCAGAAGTGGCGTTCTCGATCGACGAAATATCACGCGTGGATCGAGTGGATCATCGAGACGCGGAATACTCGCGTATCGGCGCACGCGAAATGAAACTGAAACGAGTGTTTACACGCGGAACGAGCCCGAATCAATTGACGGCAGTTCTACGGCAGATGGAAGCGTGTAACGAGTTTTAGGTTAGCTTCCATGATGCCGTCGAATGCTCCGGATTGGTCTGTGCATCGGTCCAAGCCGGTCAATAACGCGATTACCGGACGAACATCGTGTTTGTCTCCTCCGTGACCGCCGCGCCGACGAGGAAATAAAATGTAATATCTGGAAATTTCCGTTCGCGGAAGTCGTCGGTTTCCGCCTCGTTGGGAATTAATTTAATTGCCAGCGAAAAAGTTCCCCTCGATAGAACGCGAATCGTCTATCCGATGGGAGGGCGTACACAAATTATTTGATTAGCTGAATCGCGGATTTTCCTAATCTGGTTTTATTTCTCGTTTCTCGATTATCGCGGAGCAAACATAATATCTTCGATCCTCCGTCTCCAATTTCCACGATGCTACGGCGGCGTAATATTTCTTGCTAATTCGGAGGATTAATAGTGCCGTCTTGGATGGAAGTGCACGCTGGAGTTGCACGTGCCGATGCAACGGTGCGTTTCGAGTCTTAATCGACGCAATCGATTCCCGTGGTAATTTTGGAACTCTGCCTCCTGAAATCAATTGACAATTAACAATTGTAACGAGGGTCTACCTCGTGTATCTACCTCGAGGGTGTACGAGTAAGTTATAAGAACAGCGTCGAAGCGGCAGTTTGTACCACTTTATTCGATCTCCGATCCATCTTAATAACCTTCGTCGCGATTAATTTGTCGTCGTAGTGATAACGACTAATCGCAAGCGCGGGACGTGTCACGCACGAGCGTTTGCTCCCTTTCGTAAGGACGTCGTACGTTTAAAATAATTACCATCGACGGTCTAGAAAAAACCTTCAGGTTGCTCTTTTCGCGTAGGAAAAGTCACGTCGGCTTATCATGCTACT